ATTATTAAAACTATTGTTTAAATACAACTGCAGGTGGGGATTTATTAAAATCGCACAATTCGATTATCCCTGTTACATAATATTTTGTTACATAAAATGCAGATAGTATAATTTATTGTAGATATGTAAAAAAATCTCAATATTTGTTAATCGAAATTTTATGTCATAATTCAAATAGCCTGAGTTAATCGGATTGGCATCAAAGTATGCCAGTTGACCGAATGACGATTATGAAATTGTTTAAAAAAAAAAACAATTTTTCTTTATGATGTTCAATATTTGAGGTCACTTTTCCTAGATTATCTAATTACATTGTATTTCCCTCCTTTCCTCAGCCCCCAGGATAGGGATGTCCCTTAAGAGGTCAACAAAGTCTTTCAAAAGAAAATTGTGTAATTTTCTCCAGAACAATTGTTTGACATTTTCAAAATAAAACAAAAACCCTTTTACCAGAGATTTAATACCATTTTAAAGACAGCCTAATGCGGATTACTAATCTCCGCATTTTACCTTCAATTTAATTAGGAAACTGAGTTACATAATTTTATAAGCAAATGATGTCCGTAGAACTCAAAACAACAACAAAAACCCGTAGAACAAAGTGAAATCTGATAAGCAACCAAATAACAAGAACAACAACAACAATCTGATGCAATTATTGTGACAGCTGAACATTAAAATCGTTGAGACGAAAAGTTCAACATGGCTACGAGACATTCGAAACTTGTCCACATATCTGGCAAAGGAGCAAGAGAAGGAAGAAGAAGAAGAACAAACACATTTACAATTGTCCACAAGCTGTGGCTGGAGAAGATGCAAACATGAAATCCGATTAAATTTCTATTGGGATGCACATGAATGACAAGCTCCACTCTCGAATTGTTTCGATACTGTGGCCAATTGGTTGGTTCAATGGATCTATTGGTTGATGGCGGAAAAAGGGATTTTTTGTAATAGCGTCAATTAACGAATTGACGTTGACATATTACGTAACATAGATATGAATGGATATCTTAAAAAAATAATTTTTAAGGACAATATGCGGGTGGCGTAGGGGATAATAGATACGAAGCAACGGCTCTGATTGGCTTTAACATGGCGAAGTCCAGGCTTATCTTGCTCACCTGGGGAGCTATTTTCATCACCCGATGAAATGGTGAGTTAATATGTGCCGCAAGTTCACCCATAAGAACTATAAAAAAACGGGTTGAGGCGTCGGGTTAGTTGCCCACTCTCGGAAAACCCAACCTAATATGAAAAAGCAAAGAAAAAGAAAACCAAACCCCCCTAATGTTGACGACCCCCGCAAAGGTATAAAGAACCACGATTTGCGAATCTGCACTTGTAAAGTGCGCACGTTGTACAGAACAGGCGCAGTGTTCGCATTGGCGGATGTACTCAAGAAGTACAAAGCCGATATTATTGCCTTACAGGAATTGCGATGGAAAGGGACTGGCGTAAGTAAATCAGATGATTACGCCGCGTATTATAGCTGCCATGAAACGAGACATGAATTTGGCTGCGGATTTATGGTTAACAGCAGGATAAAAGACCTCGTTTCCAGATTCACTCCAGTAGGTGAGCGAATTGCTATAATCCCTATAAAAGCGAAATTCTTCTACATCAGTCTCATTTGCGCCCATGCTCCGACCGAATCTAAAGATGAACAGACCAAGGACATATTTTGCGAGCGCCTAGGAACAGCATATGACCGTTGCCCTGGCCATGACATTACAATTCTGCTAGGAGATTTTAATGCAAAAATCGGAAGAGAAAATATCTTTGGCCCCAACGTCGGAAAATTCAGCCTCCATGAAGAAACATCAGACACGGAAACTCGGTGTCGAAAAGCTGCAAACACAACAGGTAGCCAAAGCATACTCCGCTCAACTTACCCACCTGCTTGACGAAATCACTTCTTGTCCCGATAAGAGTATCGAAGCACAATTGCAAAAATTGCGCACTCCCTACAAACTGCAGCAAAAGTAACATTTGGGTACCAAAAACCACCACCAAGAAACCCATGGTACGATCAGAAATGTCGTAATGCTACCGATTTAAAAAACGCAGCGTATAGGGCAACCCTGCAAACAGTAGCAACACGTAATGTGATGGAGAATTATCGGGAAAAAAGGAGAGGAGAAACGTGTTTTCAGAAAAAAGAAAGGACAAGAAAAATGTGAGCGTGAGCAAATCGAGGTGTACAGGAGTCAGAAGGAAGTCCGGAAATTTTACCAACGAGTAAAACACCAAACCGAAGGTTTTAGTGCAGGCACATCCTCCTGTAGAAATGAAGAAGGAAACCCGGTGACAGATACAGACAGCGTGTTGAGGATCTGGAAGGAGCATTTTGAAAAGCTTCTGGTATCAAATAGTGGCGGTGAAGAAGATACCCCAGAACTAATAAGAGATGACGGTATAGAATGTATACCACCTAGCCAAGATGAGGTCAGAATAGCAGAACAATAAAGCTGCAGGAGCCTATGGGTTACCAGGCGAAGTATTCAAGACTGGTAGTCAGGAGCATGCACCGGCTGGTTAGTACAATTTGGCTAGAAGAATGAATGCCCAATGATTGGAACCTCAGCATCCTGTGTCCCGTGCACAAGTAAGGAGACAAGGCGATATGTGCCAACTATAGAAGAATAAGTCTCCTTCCCATCGCTTATAAAGTGCTATCCAGCGTGCTGTGTGAACGACTGAAGCCAATGGTCAATGACATTATTAAACCATACCAATGCGGCTTCAGACCTGGCAAGTCCACCATTGACCATATTTTCCCCCTGCGCCTAATCCTGGAAAAGACCCACGAAAACACATTGTCACATACCACCTATTCGTCGACTATAAAGCCGTATTCGACAGCCCTATCCGTTAAGAGGTGTTAAAGTCATGTCTGCGTTTGGCATTCCTGCAAAATTAATTCGGCTATGCAGGATAACTTTAACTGGCACAAGATTAGCAGTTAAAGTCGGAAAGGACCTCTCGCAGCCCTTTAATACCGAACGAGAATTCAGACAAGGTGACAGTTTGTCGTGTGACCTTTTTAACATCCAGCTGGATAAGGTCATACGAGAGGCAAAAGTGAACAGAAATGACACTCTTAACACCAAACAACACATGTTACTCGCCTACGTCGATGACATCGATATAATGGGTGGAACATTGCGTGCGGTAACAGCCACCATTGAACAAATTGAGAAGGCAAAATGGCAAAATGGGTCTAGCGGCAAACGGCGAGAAGGCCAAGCTGATGGTATCAACGCGCAAAACGTTTAGTAGACTCGAACCAACTGTTTAACTTGAGAACTACAGCATCGAGGTAGTCAAAGATTTTATATACCTTGGTATCGCCATAAATAAAACGAATGACATCAGTTTTGAAATTCGGAGAAGGATAGTGATGATCAACAAATGCTAGCGAACAACTCAAAAGCAAGGCCACCTCCTGCCAGACCAAACTCACACTCTACAAGACGCTGATACTACTCGTGCGGATCGTTATACGGATCTGAAGCATGGGTACTTACGCAAACAGATGAGGCAGCTCTTGGAGTGTTTGAGAGAAAAATTCTCCGAAAGATCTATGGATCGATCTGCGTTGATGGTGAATATCGCCGTCGAATAAACCATGAGTTGTACCAGCTATTCTCGCAAATCGACATTGTTAGACGTATTGAGCTGCAACAACTACGTTGGCTAGGTCATGTTGTGAGAATGGATGAAGATGCCCCGGCCCAGAAGGCATATAAAGGAGAACCAGCTGATGGCTCACGCAGAAGGGGAAGGCCAAGAATATGTTGGAAAGATCAAGTCGAAGACAACATCGCCGAAAATGGCCTTTCAAATTGGAAAAACTGCGGAAAAGACCGATGCGCCTGGAAATCATTTCTAAGCTCGGCTTATGGAACGAAAGTTCTGTCACAAGCCAGCTAAGTAAGTAAGGACAATATGCAGTAATGTATTTCTTACGAATATTAGTTCCAATGTTGCACACAAAGGTGTGGATTTTTAAAAAATATATTTCCTAGGATTTTGAACATCTCAAATCTAAAATGAAACAAACAAAATATCAAACTAAAAAAATAATTACTCAAGGCTTATCGAAGCATGAATTTCTTTGAAATATAATTTCTTTAAGGGTTTTAGAATCGATATTGTGCATTAATGAAAAGAAAACGGTAATTTAATATTCAAAATATTTTGTAATGCATCAATAGCGACATCTATCCAAATATAAACATATATATGTACATGTACATGGACTGTCATCAATCAATTAATCATTGAGTTGAGATGCATTGAAGCATTTAGGAAATGACATCGACGAACTGGTGATGGGTAAAAACCCACTTTATTTCACTTCCACCGCCAGCCGCAGCCACAGAAAGTTCTATAAAAGCTGAACTCTAGAACACGAGAAAGTATCAGTTTATGTTTGACCACTCACTGTAAATACATAATTTGATTTCGATTTATTTTTCTGAAAAACACACAACAAAGTTGCAGTTTTGAAAATATTGCTAGCAAAATGTTCAAACTGGTAAGAAAAACAATGTGCGAAAATAATGTCAGAATTTTAAATAAATATTTTTTTCCAGTTACTAATCACTTTGGCTTTAGTTAACTTGAATGAGGCCTCGTTATCGAATTTACATTTGGTAGTACCAGACGACTCTTACACGTTGCTAAGTAGCGGCAAATTATCCTCATCTTCATTGCGTGGCAGTAGTTCGGTTTCTCTGTCGAATGCACTTTCGGATGAGGATACTTCGAACAGTGTTGAAAATGAAGATCAGGCATCGGAGGAAGCCACTGCCGCTCCAGCAGCTGTGGTATCCGCTGCATCCGCATCCGCACCGTCCACACCTGCATCTGCGCCAGCAACCAGTGCCCCACCATCAGCCGCAGCATCACCGGCCGGTGTAAATCGTGCCAGACCCAATTCAAATCTGTCAGGACTTGCATCAGTTAGTTTGTCGCGGCCCTCTGTTGTGGTATCTTCCTCATCAACGGCCCAAGCCTCAGCTTCATTGCCATTGGTTTCGGCCAGATCCACAGCTACCATCCAACATCGCATTTTGCCGGCTGAAACCATCCCCCTGCCCATTACCATTTCCCAGCGACCTGGTTTGCGTACGGTCATTGCTCCCGAGACCATAACCATTCAACAACCCACCATTGCTCGAGTGGGCGAAGTTGTGCAGCAAATCCCCACCGCAGTATCCCACCAACGTCAAACTGTTGTTCACAAACATGCTCGAGTGGTTACACCCATTGTGGCCCCAGCTGTTCGCACCTTAACTTCACAAATTGTTCGCGCATATCACACACCCTTGGTCTATGCTCCCCAAGTGACCACAAATTAAAGTTGGGTTCTCTCAGCGGGATTACAGCTATTCTCATCATTTCAGATAAAAAAAATTGACAAATTTTTTATTTACAAAATTCTCTTCACTAAGAATAAGTTTTACATTTAATTTTTAACCATTTCCTTTGGCTGCCATAGACATATTGTTGTTGTTCTTAAGAAAGCGATACGAAACTATTTTTTTATTTTATTTTGGTTTTACTTGTAATTGGTTTAGAAGAATTTAGATGAATAAAAAAAAGAATATTTTACTACCAGCAAATTTTTGTGTTAACATTTTTTTTTGGAAGAATGAGGAAATGGAAAAAAGAATGAACATAATTTTTTAATCAACGCCTATATGGAAAAAAATATTTTTTTTTAAATACAGGCATATGTTTGTCCATGAGATACTGTGAAAAATATATATTTTTATACCCTACACAACTATGTTGTGCAGCCCCAAGAGTTAGTGACGCCGCGAAGGATGGGTTCTGGTCAATGAAGACCCCTATTGTTTTAATATTTAAGGTATGAAATGGACCAAATACTGAATTTTTGTCGGTTTCTGTGGTCGCTCCAGAGGCCGCAATTATGGTCCGAACATCACGAAATTTTACATGAAGAAGGGGATAGGGTCAAAGAAAAAGCATTCCTGTTCTGATAAAGATCGGTCAATATTTAGCGGGTCAAATGGACCCTGACTTTTGTGTGAAAAATGACAAAATTTGTATTCTATGGCATATGTATTTAGCCCTGAAAGACATAGCCCGAGAAGTTGATATTATATCCAAGTGGAGTGGTTGACCTTTAAATTGATACCAATTATATTGTCGTATGTACTCGGATGGGGAGATAAATAAAATATTTACAGGTGCTTACGTATTCAGATATTATTTAGTAACCCAATACCAGACTAGCGGGCGAAAATATAGCGCTGATCGCTTTGAAATTTTCCATGAGATTCCAGTTGTGGTCAAAAATAACTCCTATAATTTTCGGTGACGATCAGATAATAATTTTGGGATGAAGTGCACCGAAACTTAATTTGTTTGTTTTTTTTCAGTCGATCTATGCGCTACAATTATAAGCCGAACAACACAACACAACTTACGGTGAAGGGAATCTGGACAAGTAATTAGAAGGGCAGTATAGAATATTAGTAATATTCAGAATATATGTCAGTGTAAGGAAGAGATGCTATTGACCTCTAATCGGGCAAGCGGCTGGAAATATCCCGAAATATTGCCCAGGCTCAGGATAAACATCCGCAGAAAGTTTGAGTTCCGTGTGTAGGGTATCGTATGGTCGGCCCCGTCCGACTATACTGCTCCGCTCACTGGTTTTTTAATTATACCCTACACAACTATGATGTCAGGGTATTAGAGCTTTGTGCAGCCCCAAGTGTTTGTAACGCCGCGAAATATGTGTCCTAGACCCACCTTTAAGTATACCGATCGTCATTCATTATAATTTGTAAACACGATACAGGCCACAGTTATGGACCGATCTTCACGAAATTTTGCATGTAGGATGTGTTCTGGTCAATGAAGACCCCAATTGTTTTTGGTAAAGATCGGTTAATATTTAGGGGATGAAATGGACCAAAAACTAAATTTTTGTCGGGTTTTCTGGTCGCTCCAGAGGCCGCAATTATGGCCCAAACATCGCGAGATTTTACATGGAGAAGGGAATCCGACCAAAGAATAATCATGCCTGTTTTGAGAAAGATCGGTTAATATTTAGCGGATCAAATAGACCCTGACTTTTGTGTGAAAAATGACAAAATTTGTATTTTATAGCGGATATATTTACTCCTGAAGGACATAGACCCAAGAAGTTGATAGTATGTCTAAGAGCAGTGGTTGACCTTTAAATTGATACCAATTATATTGCCATATGTTCTCGGATGTGAGAGTTACTCTTAAATATTTACAGGTACTTATGTATTAAGATATTATTTAGTAACCCATTGCCACACTAGAGGACGGAAATATAGCGCTGTACGTTTTGAAATGTTCCGAACATCACAACGCAAGATTTTCACATTTGGTGAAGCGAATCTGAATTTAGAAGAGCTGTACTGAATATTTCCGAGTCGATCTATAGGCCATAATTGAAAGCCGAACATTACAACCCAAGCATCGGTGAAGGAAAGCTGGACTGAATATAAGTAATATTTGTTGACCTCTAGTCAGTCAAGAGAGTACAGATATCGCGAAATAGTGCACAACCTCAGAATATAGAAGCACAGAAAGTTAGATTTTCATGGAAGTTGTGTAGGGTATCATATGGTCGGCCCCGTCCAACTATACTGCTCCGCTCACTGGTTTTCGTCTATGTGGTACACACTGTGGTACAAGGTATTATGTCTTTGTGCATATGTTTGTAACAGGCGAAAACACATGGTTCCTTTTGTGAATATGCATAGAATCACTTTCTGAGTCGATTTACGCATGTCCGTCCGTCCGTCTGTAGGTTTAGATTTAAATATAGCTCCCATATATATTTTCGTCCGATATAGGCACCAATGCCCCAATATGTTTCGATTTGCACGAAATTTGGCATAGGGTACTGAATTAGGTCCAGAACGATGTGTGCTAAGTTTCGTGAAAATCGGTTAAGATTTAGATATAGCTCTCATATATAGTTTTGTCCGATTTTATGTAACTGGTGCACCAAATTCCCTATATATCTTTCGATTTGCACAAAATTTGGCATAGCGTGCTGAATTAGTTTCAGAATAATGTGTGCAAAGTTTCGTGAAAATCGGTTCAGATATAGATATATCTCCCATATATATTTTCGTCCGATTTTATGTAAATTGTGCACCAAATTCCCTATATATCTTTCGATTTGCACAAAATTTGGCATAGGGTACTGAATTAGTTCCAGAATAATGTGTGCTAAGTTTCGTTAAAATCGGTTCAGATATAGATATAGCTCCCATATATATTTTCGTCCGATTTTTTATAAATGGTGTATCAAAGTGCCTATATATCTTTCGATTTTCACAAAATTTGGCATATCGTACTAAATTAAGCCTAGGATGACGTGTTTTAAGTTTCGAGAAAATTTGGTCAGATTTAGATATAGCTCACATATATATTTTCGTCTGGTTTAAGGTAAAGTCCAAGTTTCGGTTCAGATTTCGGTATAGCTTCCACATATACATATATATTCGTCCGATTTTACATAAATGTTGTATTAAATTGAAACTTGAATGACGTTATTGACGTTTTATTGAAATTGGTGGAGATGTAGCCATAGCTTCCATATGTATTTGTAATGGGTATGTGATTGAGATACAATTTTTAACAATGCGAAGTACAGAATAGCGGATATAAATTTTGTTATAAATCATTTTCCAGGAATTTGTCCCATGGTACACAGACGACTCTAAATCTGCCCGAATGACATTAAATTTAGCGTAGTTTTCATAAAGGCATGAGTATGTTCCTTCGCGGGAACATTGACATGCAATTGTAAGGATATATATGTAGAATATATACCCAAGGTGGAGAAGGGTATCATATAGTCGGCCCAGTCCGACTTTACTACTTTTCTTACTGGTCTAGTCCTTGAAAAATTGAATGAAAACTTTGGAGATCCGTGAAATAGAAAACTATTTAAAAAATTCCGAACTAGTTGTTCTTGAAGTTTTTGTTAGCAAATTCAGCCCTCGAACAAATATTATTTGAAAAATCTACTCTTATGTTGAACCTTAAAAAATACAAGCATTTTTGGATCATTGACAAAATAATTTAATAATTTTAGATCTATGCTGGTCCTTGAAAACATAGTTTTAAAAAATGCACGCCTATTGCGGTGTATGAAAAATATTTTGGCTCTTAGATTTTTAAGGGTTGAAAACCCCCGAATAAAATATCCACGTCTAAATTAAACCTTGATTTTCTTAATCCTCACAAATGTTAGGCTTTGGAAAAAATTTAAAAAAGCCATGCCTTTTATAAGGATTAAAATAATATTTTTGCAAAGTTTCGCCTTATATATGACTTATAAAAATCATTTAATTTTTTAATCAGTTCCCTTGTGACTTTAAAACTATTTAAATATGCCATCCACATTTCCCATTTATTGCAATTTTAGGCATTTTTCTTGTTGTTGTTGTTTACTTCGAGGTCAATACTCGCAGTCAGCGAATCACAAAATCTAAAAATAGAATTTAAAATAAATTAATTTAAAATCGAATAAAGAAAAATCACACAACCAGAGAAACGTTTGTGGAAAATTATGCTTGAAAATTCCCCCCTCCCCCCTCGCTTTAATGTCGCACAACACAGACAAAAACATTTCCATAGCAATTACGCAACAACAAGAACAACAACCAAAAAATATTAAAAGCTTTATGGATTTCGTTAATTCAATTACCATAGTTATTTTCGGTGGGTCCTCTCCTTTGGCCAAAGACAATTTTTTTAAGTGCTGACGTCACAAAAATAAATTATGAAGTACAGAATAGAAAATTGCTGTGTATTGATACAGTGTCGGATAACACGAAGAGATACGGAGATTTGTGTACAAATTTGCAGATTGTGTCGTCATGAGCATTCTGTTTCACTTGACCCTCCAAGTTTTTCGTTACAAATTGTTATTTAATTAATTTTTTTGGTTAAGATGACATTTACATAGATAGCGGAAAGTTTATTATTCAGGGGAACAAAATATAGGGAAAGTTTAATGGCAAAACTTTAAATCATCGAATGATGATGGAAATATTTTAAATTCCAATAAAAATATATTGTCATTGAAAATAAATAAATAAATAAAAACAAAGCATGTCTTGATACTAACTTATATTTCTAGGATAACAAAACGTGGATTTTTAAAAGTATTTTTAGGAACCAACAAATTTGGAATAGCTCATCTATTTGGCCCATGGACGAACCCTATTGAAATTGGTTGAAAATCGGTTTAGATTTAGATATAGCTCCCATATATAGCTTCGCCCGATTTTAGGTAAATGGTATGCCAAAGTCCCTATATATCTTACGATTTGC